GCACTAGATGACCAAGACATTTGGTAGAGGCTCAGTGAAAAAGAGGAAGACCCTCAACAAGATGGATTGACACAGTGGCTGCCACAATGTGCTCAAGCATAGCAACAATTCAATTGTGAGGATGGCGCAGGACCAGGCAGTGTTTTGTTCTGTTGTGCATAGGGTCGCTATGAGTCCAAACCGAATGGACACTTAACAAGGACCTCCTATGTGCCAGGTGCTGTGCCGGGTGACACAGTACCAAGATGTTAAGACATGAAACCTTTTATGAGCTGCCATTCATATGTTGTCTCCCAACTCAAAGCAAACCCTGCTGGGACCTCAAGGTGTTCTGAGACCTCAAGGTGTTTCCTGCACATCTTCTATAGCGATCCTATTACCCAAAGCAGAGGTTCTAAACAGAATGACTTATTCATGGAGTATGGATTAAAATGGAAGAAATTACTTAAGCTTTAATCTACTTGAGAGGCAGTATAAAAATAAAAGCTACAGAACAAAAGTAGAAACTGTAAAATTTTATTAACATGCCTTTTAAATTACAATACAGTTCAAAACACAGCTTTAGGTATGGAATTACACACGTGATAACACACATTTTATTTTCAACCATGTCACTATTATTCTTCGCACATATTCCTGATAAAATTAATGCAGAGTGAAAAATGGGGTAAGACATGGCCACTTCATTTCCCACAAACGTGAATGTAGTATGCTTTGCAGAAAACATGAGGTAGATCAAACCAAAGGAAAGTAATTCAGTCACGTCCTGTTTTGAAACGCTCCCTGCACTAATCCCAGTAAACACAGCGTCACATTCCGCATCAGAGCTGAACCCAAATACAGCATGTACAGCGCATATACATCAAGGTTAGGAAGGATCACAGTCAGCCAGAGTAATAACACAGTCAAACAGGCATCGCTTCCAAGTGGGATAATAAGGCACGCTACTACTACCACTGAACTCATACAAAAGAGGTCCTGCAAAAGTAGAGGAAATAAAAAACAAAGAGAGTGGGTAATTAATGACTTCGCTATTGCGCGTTGCAGGAACTGGTATCTTTGCTATGGGGTCGCCACACACTCCTACAGAGAGTAAAACTGAAAAATAACAGAATTAAAATGTTATTCTCTCCAATCAAAGACCTGGAGGAATAAATTGTGAGTAAAAACCTGTCAAAGCAAAGGTTTAGATACAATCAATTTGTAAACAGTATAAAAATATTCAAAACATTGCCCCTACAGAGTGGAATTCTACATGTTAGTAGTGAGCAGAGAAGCAGCAACATGGCCACCACCCGTGTGAAAGCCCATCACCAAAGGACCAGGTGGGCAGAGAATGAAAGCGAGCCAGAGAGATGGGAAAGAAAAAGAAAGGAGAGCATTTCAGAATGGAAAAAGGAGCTCTACTGGTCAGATGACAGATGAGTTTTACCAAGGAAAGTAAGACAGAAGAGTAACGAAAGGGAGAAGCATGTGAGAAGGGTTGTTGAGGTGATACAGTGAATAGAATAATGGTAACAAGAAAAGAAAAGTCCAGCAAAGAGAGAACCAGCTCAAAAATGCGTAAATCAGAATTCATGCTTTTTCTCTGTTGTACCTGAAAATCAAACAGTGAAATTAAAGTCTAAGAGTTAAAATCCTCACGAGGAAAAAGCAGTTCTGGATCCCACGCCTGTGAAAAGCAAAGCTGAATTATCAAAACAAGTGTTTATCTGCTCTTTGGTCTACAGTATAAACGTGCTGTGTGCGCCTATAGCTGAAGAGCCTCAATGAAGAGGAACTGCAGCGTGCACAGGTGTGAACAGTCCTGTAACGTCTGGTTCCACTAATGCGCCCTTCAAATGAGGTTAAATAAATAAAATCATCCTGAAAGAATGTCAAGAGTTCTACTTTCTAGAGTATATTAAAACATTAAATACAAATATATTAAAACAGCAAGTCTGCTTGTCCACTTTGTGGTACATATTAACTAAAAAAAAAAAAAAAATACATGTTGTTTCTTGTTAAAGGGGCTATACTTTTCTACACATCTTTTTAAATTAGTGACAAAGCAAAACACCACCATGAAGATCTCTGTATATTTTAGTTGGTTAAAAGTAAAAGGAAAAAACAAATATTGAAGAAACTTCTCACTAAAAATGCCTGTTATACCAGCCCTCTTAATTAAAAGATTTCCCACCAAACTTGGCACAGAAGAGAGTGCTAGATTTTTAAAACATTCCCTACAGAAGGTAGGTTACAAAGTGTCAAACAAATGATCCTTCCCAACCATGTGATACCAGAAGGCGGTATACCTGAGGATCCAATATGAATCAGTGAGTCTTACTACTTAGGTTCCAGTACATAAAACCACGGGCCTATGCACCTAAGAAGTTAGGCATTTTAAATGGTAAAAGTCAAGTAGGTTGCCAAAAAACCTTACACAAAATCCTTAGGATTTAATATTAGATCAAGGCTGAATGCCTTTGGAGAGTTCATACTCAAGAATGTCCAAACAATACTTCATTCACAAGTTATAAAAGTAGCTGAAAGGTCAACTGAGATGTTCACTAAATACACTAAGTTACCTAAACTTTTCCTCTTATGGATCAAAGCTTCTTGCGGTTCCCTTCACGGAGGGTCTCCTGCTCCCATTTCATATCCTCCACTCTCTCCTTCTCTTAATTTCCTTTTAGAGTATGTCACTTAAATATTTTTAAAAAACCAACAATACCTTTCAAGTTTTCTCTCTCTCCCACCCGCCTCCTGTTCCCAGCTCCTCCCATTCCAAACAAACAAAAACAAAACGAAACCAAAAACTAAAAAACAAAAAAACAAAAAAAGGGGGGAGGGAGGTTACACCTTAATGACAAGACAGTAAAAGTAGGTCTAAAAGTGAGTATGTGATGCCAGAACTGAGTCCTGTCAGTAGGAAGGGAAGAAAATAAAAAAGCAGATGTCCAGGAAGGGGAATGGAAAAGTGAGTAAACCCCTACAAGGACTGGGGAGCGTGCTTCTGGATCACCAGGCACTTCGACTCTCCAGGGAGAGAATGAGGGCGGGCGAGCGGAAGCAGCTAGTTCCAACAAACACTACAACACACAAGAGAAACACTGTAGTCATGACAACATACAGATCTCTTTGCTTTTGTGCAATTATGCTACTAATATGTGACTGCATCTTCAACAAGTGTCCTGTCAGTCCAACGCACTAGGAGCATGTCGGTCTTACCTTCCCAATTAAATAACAAAGAAATGGGGGGTGGGGAAAAAAGTGATAAATTCTTAAAGCCAGTCCTACTAGAAAGGATCACAGAGCCTTGGGTTCTTTTCTGCACCACTACAGGAGCCAATCCTGCCCTCATCTTACTACCAAGCTGAACAACCCACTACGTGGAAGGGGCTCAGTCCTCTGTCGCTTTAACTGTGTCAGGGAGCCGCCCTCTCCTGACGTCTTCAGCAGACACTGAACAGCGGTCCCCTCCGTTCCCCTCCCCCGTGTGCCCTGCCCTTATTTCTCTATTTAACTGGAAGAGTTCCCCTTAAGAGTCAGTGTGTTAGAAGAAAGTTAATTATTAACACTGAATTATCATTTCTCCATTCTACAAGCCTCTCCTCTCCCCATGTCCACCTGTCCTCCCTCCCCTTCAAGCTCACCACCTTACCCAGCCTCCTGAAGTAGCAAAGGCTTCTGTTCTCCTAATTAAGCAAAATGGTGTTGGAGAAAGACCCGTGGTGCAGGATCTAAGCTCTGTCACAATTCAGAAATGCTACAGAACAAAGTTTAAACAATTGTTTATCCAGGACCTTTACAAATCATGAAAAGAACTACCCAAATTAAAATAAGTATGATGAAATACCCCATCCCCCATCTCATCCTGTAAACTTCTCCACAAGGAGGCAAGGGCCCTCACCCCTACTTAGGATGCTACCTGTCCAGAAACGGTGGAAGCCCTCAAAATTTCTTTTGGAAAAAGAGATGAGATCTTCCTCTAAAAGAGTATCAGTATAATAATTTAACAGATGTATCCAGACGAATGATAAAGCAAGGTTATGTTCAGGTAAGGAGCTAAGGGAACTCGTATATTACAGCACAAAATCAAAACAAGATAACGCAAAAAAGAAAAAAATAACTTGGCTCCATATAAATCACCTACTGTATTTACCGAATGAGGTATATTGATATTTACTGGCTTTAAAGCTTCTTGAATTTGTGAACAAATAATACACAGATCAGGGTAGATGTATTGACTTACTACCATCTTTATAAAAATCGAATATACAGACAAACACATCAACAATTATGGAACTGTATCGATTAAACTTTGATAAGACAACACAAAAGAACTAACAAATAGCTAAGATGTCGTTGAATTGAAAGCATTTTCAATAACATTTTAATTTCAAAAGGTCCATATTTACATAGTATGTTAAATGCTTCTGCATCTCATTTTAAATGCATGATAAATAAAGAACAAAGATAATGGTTGCAACAGATCTTCCAAGACGGTTTAGCTTAAGGTGGTCTGATTTATCTGCTAGAAGTACACCGGAAACAGAGATGACATTACTTTCTAATTCTGCTTCTTTCCTTTTCTGTAGGTTTCCTTCAAGGAAAGTAAACCTTTATTATTTAGATTGTCTGCACTAATTAGGGTCCATATACAACAGTTATACGCATTCAGAGAGGCTGGACTGTGTTCAATCATCCTAACTAGTGCTTCACTCAAGCCCTGGTTGGACTTTGTTGATCATCAAGAACATTATAGTTAAGAGCAAGCTTAACACATGTATGTGTGCAAACAGTTACAGACACATACACGATCCCATGGCACCATACCACATTCTGATAATGCCAAAAGCAGACCTTAAAGTAGCCACCAAATCTGTTTTTAACAACAGTGCCCAAATGACACTTAGTTTCGTTATCACTAACTAGAAAAACTATGCTTAAATGCCTACTTTTCAGAGTCAACGTTCAGATTTTTGGTTTCAAAGCCACAGCACTCTCAGACTGTTTCAGAAAATGGTAAAATTTTGCTAAACAAATTGCATCAGTAAGTGCTCACTGATAATCTAAGTTCAGCAACTACAAGTCTCCTCACTGCTGAACAGGGCTACTGAGTGGTTCTGACTTCTCTTCATAAGAGCTGATAGGCTACCAAACTCATTTCAATGCCCTGCTCTGTGGACTGAGCCAAACCATCTACACTTTTAAGTATGTATGAATTTAGTTCTAAAAACAAGTGGGCAGTGACAGCTTATCAATCAGATGAAGGGCCACCACACCGAGCTTCTACTTGGGAAACTGCTGGAGGTACCCAACAGCCTGGCTGGTATACAATGCCACCTTCCAAGTGTGTGCTAGAGACCTTCTGGAATGAAGGGGTGCAGTCACCAGCAGCTAGAGCCAACTCGTCTACATGAAATTCACTTTCAAAGAAAGGGTTTCTGAATATATTCCATGAATGCCTACAGCTTTCTGGAACCAAAATCTTTTGAAGAGCAGCCCTTTACCACTGTCACCTTCGCTTTCTAGTCTGACTCTTAAGCACATGATGCCACTTTAGAATCAATGCTACAGGAAGTCTCACAAGGGTCCGGAAGACTCTTCTCCAGTTCTTAGTATCTGTTTTGGTCACTTAATTTGAAAAGCAATATAAAATTACAACTGTGAAAACACAAGATGATACGAACTCATGTGAACTCCGTCTCCTTTAAGTCCTGCTGAAGGCTGCAGGCCATGAAGGAATGCATTTGCTCAGAGTGTGTGTCAATGCTCATTCTGCTCCTCATGGGTTAGCTAGATGCAGTAAGTGATCATCTGTCTCCCTTCATTCTATCTCCTTTAATTCTATTAATAATGTCAATACATTTCATGTGAAATCTTAAGTATAAAATATAGCTTAAAAAGTCTGAGTATGCCCTAGTATTATTTGCTCAAATAGTTCAGGTCCACATTAGAATATATCCAAAACAGTGAAACTCTTTCATGAGCAGAAATACAATAAGGCACTTTTTTCAATGCTTGCCCAAAATGAATTTTTCTAAAGGTTGCTTTATGGAGATTAAGTGTCTCACCTAAAGGAACCTACCCGGAATTACTAAACACAGTTTCAGCGATGACATGCATATGTTTTATTTTAGGTTACGCTACCATGTAAGACAACCATTACCTCACATCCATTTTCATAAAGGGTATGTGCCAGAGCAAAATCACTTTGCCATTAGGTCCACTGAAGGACAGCACATCCCCTGCTCAAAAGGCCCTCAAAACAAAGAAAAGAGGAAGGAAAAGAAAAAGAAAGGGGGGGAGAAAAAGATAATCAAAACGATGATAACCAAGTTCCCAAAGAATGTTCTACATATCACAAAGCCAGGGACAAAAATCTGCCACTCTGGACTCTATTTAAAAAGAGGGGGGAAAATCAAACTGGTCTGTTAAACCTTCAAGCTGCCCCTCAATCTCACACTGTATATATGATATGGAAATCTACTAATGGCGAACTTTGTCAAAGAGCTGCAGGATAAGAGGGCTAACCCTGCCTTTCTCTAAGCCAGAGGGAACGGCAATCGTGCCTAGCCAGCATTTTGCCTTATTTGGGAATACTGGCGAAAGGGTACTAGTTCCTTGGAAGCAGGAACACACAGTTGGTGCTTTTGAAATATTTACAAGAAGCAGAATCTGCCACTTCAATCGGCACCACTCCCAACCACCCCCTCACACCCTGGCTTTCCAGGATATGCAAATGTCAATCAATAATCACCCAAATTTTAATCTACATTTTTACAAGGACTTTTTGATGTCTTTCTGAGAAGACAATTCAAGTGAAGCTTGGCTGAGAAAACTGTTTTCTAGCCTGCACTGAAGATAAGTGCAACCATTATCAAATATTCTTTGCTGTGAAAAATACTGTGAATCTGTGGCATTAATGTTCTTTCCTGAATCTAAGTCACTGTGATCGATCATACAGTAAGATCCTGAACAACAATGTCTACATGCATCGTAAGCACTTTGAAAACAAAAGACAATAAAAAACTGTAGCTCTTTGTGGTTACAACAGAATTTGAAGAAATCTAACACCAAACTCCAGTTTGCTACGTCCTGTAAGTTCAGCTCTTCTTGAATCAATCCTGTTGCTTGCTGTCTGTAGCTCCGGACAACAGTTATGCAAGGCTGTGACTGGAAAGGTCTAAGATCTTGAGGATTCTGCTCCGGGAGCTTCCTTGAAGAAATTCCACAGTGTTTGTATAGCATAAGGTCAGATTCTCCTATTCAAAATCACTCAACAATCAGAGCCACATTTATGTGGGACAAATCTATCATATGCCTGTGGAAATGTAAAGAAATAATCAACGTTAAGGGAATGCAAATCAGCAACAAATTCACCAAGATAAAAGAAAACAAAAGTAGAATGGTGGCTCCTGATTAAAGAAAATCTAGAATTCTATAAAAACGCAAAATTACAGATAAGTCCTGTATTAAAAGAAGGGGGTTAACTGTCCACATTACAAAAGGTTGCAATGTTTTAGGGAAGGATTTTCTCCCTTTATGCACTACTGCTGTAGTTCTACAATCGTATGTCATGGGCACAAACACATACGTGCAAAGCCATGTGCAACTCAGACAGAAAGCCCCCCTCCTGAATCACTATAACCACTGACGTACAACAACACACTGGTTACCTGTGGAATTTCTGCTGAAATGCTAATGCATGTGCTGGTTCCTTAAACTTCGCTATGGCTTTCCGTTGCTGAGGAAGCATCTGTAAACTCTAGAGGAGGAAAACGAAAAACATTTTAATATCATGTAAAATTAACTTCAATATAAAATGAGAGTCTAGGTTGACATCTGGGACACTAAAACCACCTAATTTGCCTCCCCTTCTACATCCAGTTTCTTTCCCTGATGATTTTTCTTACTCCAGTAAGTCACTCCTCTGAGCAACACTTAGACCCACTCAGCCTGGTTCTTAAGACTGTCCATATCTGGCCTCACGCAGGCACGCCAGGCCTCTCCAAACCTCCTGTGGGACTCAGTGGCAGTTTACCCTCGGATATATCACTTTCTTTCTCATATCCTCCTGTCAGGTTACTTATCATAGGGTCCCTAACCCTTTTTTAAAAGATAGTATCCATCACACCAGAGGAAACCAATCCTGTCTCATTAACATAGCAAAGACAACCCATTCCCAAATGGGATTATAACCACAGGCATAGAAGTTAGGATTTATAATACATATTTTTGGGGGACACAATTCAATCCATAACATTCCACCCTTTGGCCACCCAAAATTTATGTCCTTCGCACATGCAAAATTCATTCATCCCATGACATCATCCCAAAAGTCTTAAATCAACTCCCAGTCCAAGACACCATCTTCTCAATCATCTAAATCAAATGTGGGTGAGACTTCAGGTGTATTCTATCTTGGGGCAAAATTCCTCTTCATCTGTGAACCTGTGAAATCTAGACTACAAGTTATCTGTTACCATAGTACAATGGTGGGACAGGCACAAGACAGACATTTTCATTACAAATGGGAGAAACTGGAGGGAAAGAAGAAATAACAGGCACCAAGCGAGTCCAAAACCCAGCAGAACAATCTACATTAGCTCTCAAGGCTAGAAAATAATCCTGTCCTTTGGGACCAGCTAGGCAATGGGCTCCACCCTCCAGGCTCTAGGTGTTGGCTACCCTCTGGATTCTGGAAGGAGGCCCTCTGCCCAGGGCTTCAGCTCTGCCTTCCAGGCCCACTGGGATGGCAACTCTGTTCCTTTGGCTTTGGGCGGTCCCATTCTCCTAGTCCACCTGGTGGCGGCCCCACCCCCCTCAGTTTTGGGTGGTGGCCCCATCCTCTTAGCACATCTTGATGGCAGCCCCACACTTCAAAACTGAGTTGGTGAAGATCTGACTCTTTGAAACCTAGGAGTTTGTGGCTCTACCCTTTGAAACCAAGGTAGCCCTGCTTCCTGTGCTGCTTCCAACAGTGGTGCTGATCTCTGAGCCGCTCCAAGGATGGTCCTTGGAGGACAACAGATGTAGCTCCTTCAGCCTGTTTCCTGCCAGGAGAATTCCAAGAGGCAGACAGTTTCCTTTCCTTCTGCCCTATCCCTGACCCCTTCCGTCTAAGCTGATGGGTTTTCTGCTGTGGTAGCTGGTTCGATCCATCAGTCACAGGCTTAATCTATTTAACAAAAGATTGTATAGCTGCATCCTTGGGGAACATTCTAGGACACATGACTTTAAGTTTTGTTTTCATTTCGCACAGTTCATTTTTAAGTCCATTTCTTTCCTCTCACATTTTACTATAAGCAGTAAGGAGAACCCACACGGCCCTATAACGTCTTGCTTAGAGATCTCCTCAGCCAGATATCCAAGTTCATCACTTACAAGTTCTACCTTCCAGCAAACATTTGAACATAATTCAGACAAGTTCTTTGCCACTGCATAGAAAGCATCACCCTTCCTCCATTGTCTAGTCACATATTCATCACTTCCTTTTAAAGCCTCACCAGAAGTACATTTAACATCCACATTCCTAGCAACATTCTGTTGCTGGTGTCATGTGTTCTCTAAGACAACACAGACTTTCTCTATAGCTCTCTTCACTTCCTTCTGAGCCCTCACCAGAATTGCCTTTGACGTCCATAATTCTAACAGTCTCTTCAAAGCAATCTAGGTGTTTACTATTAGGCACCTTAAAACTCTTCCAGCCTCCACCCATTACCCAATTCTAAACCTGCTTCCACATTTTAGGTATCTGTTAAGAGTAGCACCCCACTCCCGGTACCAAATTCTGTCTTAGTAATCTAGTGTTGCTATAACAGAAGCACCACAAGTGGTACTTTAACACACAGAAATTTAGTTTCTCACAGTTTAGGAGGTTACAAGTCCAAATTCAGAGTGCTGGCTCTAGGGGAAGGCTTCCTCTTTCTGCCAGCTCTGGATAAGGTCCTTGTCTCTTTGAGCTTCTGCTCCTGTGTGATCTTCGTGTGGCTTGGCATCTCTCTTCCCCCATTTCTGCTTGCCTGTTTAATCTCTTTTATATCTCAAGGGATTGACTTAAGACACATCCTACACTAATCTTGCCTCATTAACATAACAAAGACAACCCATTCCCAAATGCGATTATAACTATAGGCATAGAGGTTAGGATTCACTACACAATATTTTTTTGGGACACAATTCAATCCATAATAGCCACTCTCTAGACTGAGGTCCTATGAACAGAGTTGATATTTTTCACAGAATCCAGTTATGTGGCAGATTCTGTGCATCTGTCTCTGAAGCAACATGAAGGCCCCCTGATGCAGCAGTAACAGCAGGGCTCATCAGGCAGACTCTTAGCACACCAATTTTTGGAAAGACACTGTGCTGACATATGACATATGCACAAGACAGCATTTTCAGTGGCAAGGAGCTATTTCTTTGCTGTGTCTAGGTTTCTGTACTAGTGATATATGCTAGCTAGAAAAATATAATGGTAACACATGATCCTTTAAAAGTATTTAAACATGCGGCCATTTAATTTTAAAGCATTAGTTAAAGATCTACAATGGAAGCATGTAACTAAAAATATCAATCCCTTCAAAAAGGTTCAAAAAAGTTATACTGTATATGAAATAGGTACTGTTCATTTTAATAACCATAAAAATTCTATCAGTAAACACAACTAGTAGAGCTCTAAAAAAATACTAAAACACTTTCCAAAACGTTGTTCATGTATAAAATGGACTGTCAGTACTCCTACAACAAAGTCATTACACAGAAATAAAAAGTTTTAAGTCTCCAAATTAAACAGCACTGACAGTTTGTAAAGTGACCACTCTAGAAACATCAGTCAAATGGTGTTGGGAATGTATCACCAGCACAGGCCAGCAACTCACGCAACTGACTCACAGACTGGGGAGCAAAGGCTTTGTTTTTTTCTGAAACAAGTATGATAAAATACCAGATTTTCCCTCTTCTTTCTGATAGAAAAAAATGGAAGCAGAATAATTTTCTTGATGATTTCCTTTAGCATTAAGCTAAAGAGAAAAGTAAAGCTCAATAACTGATCTTTAATTAGTTAATTCCTCTCTCAGATACATTCTCAGCAATATAGCTTTTCTGGCCTTTGAAATTCTATTTGCATTATTTGACAGAAATCTGTTTCCTCTTCCAAGCTGCCAGCCCTAACTTTCTGCTTGCTCCCATTCTGTAGATTATCCTTCAAATGACTTTTAGTTATTGAAACTATGGAGCTATGCTTCCAAAGAGAAAATGCCATTCTCTTTTGTCACCAGATGAGGGCAGAGGAGAATGTGGGATAAGAGTCATCTCTCAGTTTATTCAAGAGACAGGTTCACATTAACTACAACCAGAACCACAGCACCAGGCAGCACTTCCACTGTGAAGCCCAGTTTTCTGGTGTTTAACCTTGTCTGTGGCATTCTTTCCTTTCTTCTGGCAACATGCCTATGGTGTTCTAGACTCTGAAGGGGTTTAAGTAATGCCTCCAAAGTGATTTCAATACCTTCGCATTAACTGCTGCTAATATTGTGGCAAACCTTATTGCAAGAATTAAAAGAACAGTAATAAATTTACCTTATCTAAAAATATATAAATCGCTCAATTAGGAATGAACAGAAGAACTAATTTCTTATGATATCACAAACAGTTATGAATAGATGAAATCTGGATTTTGAAATACTATGCTTTTCTTTCAAGAAAAAATATTTCTAGGATTTCTGATTGTGATTTCCTTTCCTATGGATGACTTCACAATATGGAATGACAGCATGAGGCTGCCAACAGTAAAACTCTGATCTAAGGGGATGAGTTTATTTGTAATCTAAATGAATTAAACTCAATTTGATTTAGGAAGTATCAGTCAAGAGAGGCTAAACATTCAATGAAATTCTTAAATTAGAGGAATCACTTGTTTTTCACATAATTAACAAATTAACAATAGCATTTTCTTAACAACTGGCTTCAAGTTAGTTTCCCTTTACTTCCATTTTTGCACTTTTTTTCAAAAACAAACCCTATTTTCTAGAGATAAGATTGAACTACAGAAATTGTCAACATTCAACCATTTTCTGATCTACCAACATGACAATGTTAGTGAGTTCTTTATTAGAAGTAGAGGAAAAGAAACTTTGCAGTAAAAGCTAAGGTTTATTATCATCAACTTCATTTTGAAAATGTGTACATCTATATAATTCAGTAACAGATCTTCATGTAGTTAAACATACACATACAACTTTTCACCAAGAATAAACCAAAAGTTGAAATTTGTCTTAAGATTACATATTCACTCATCCCCTCGCTCCCCCGCCCCCCCCCTCAAATAACTTACTGGCATGCAGAAGGAAAAGATTAACACATCAAATTTCATCCTGATTTACTTTTCATTTTTCAGAGACAAGATATTTTCAGACAATTATGTTACTGTAAGTGGCAAAACACAAGTGAAAACGAATCCTCCGCCAGTTAGCAGGTTCCTGCATTTATACTCAACTATCCCATCAGGAATCATTTGACTTACCTGCCATGCTACACTACATTAACAGTGAAAAGCTTTGACAACCCACAATTTAGTGTAGTTTCAGAAAAGTTTCCATGTCGTTCAGAACCCTAGGTTTTTTCCCCGCATTTAAAGAAAAGTTCTTCTTCTTTCTAGGAAGAGAGTATGTGTGTTTGTGTAACAGAGAAACTAAACTGGTATGGGCATACTAAAATGATTCTGCAGTCTTGAAAATCAATTCCTCTGGCTAACAACTCCTAGAG